TGTTTCCTTGTTTTATATGTGGATGACATCTTACTTGCCATCAATGATACGGGGATGCTTCGTAATGTGAAACAATTTCTTTCTAAGAACTTTGATATGAAGGATATGGGTGATGCCTCTTATGTTATTGGCATTAAAATTCGTAGAGATAGGTCACGGGGTATACTGGGTTTATCTCAAGAAACCTATATAAACAAAGTTTTAGAGAGATTTCATATGCAAAATTGTTCACCAAACGTTGCTCCCATTGCTAAGGGGGATAAGTTCAGTTTGGACCAATGTCTGAAAAATGACTTGGAGAAAGAATCCATGGAGAACATCCCTTGTTGGATGTCTTGGATATATTCAAGTCTGTACAAGACCGAACATTGCTTTTGCGGTTGGAATGCTTGGGCGTTACCAACACAATTTGGGGTTAGACTATTGGAGAGCTGTAAAGAGGGTTCTAAGGTATCTAAGATGAAAGGTTACAAGCTTGGGTTTAGGCAGACAGACAATTTAGATATTGTTGGTTATTCAGACGCGGACTTTGCTGGCTGTGTTGATTCTCGAAATCAACTTCAGGGTGCGTCTTTATTATGGCCAGTGGGGCTATCTCATGGAGAAGTGTTAAACAGTTCTTAATAGCTACTTCTACTATGGAAGCCGAGTTCGTTTCCAGTTTCGAGGCAACTTCAAAAGGTGTTTGGCTAAAGAATTTTATCACTGGACTTAGAACTATGGATTTTATATCTAAGCCATTGAAAGTCTACTGTGACAACCAGCTGCAGTCTTCCTAGCTAAGACCACAAAAGTGGGAGTCGAATTAAGCACATCGATATCAAGTTCTTAGCAATTAGGAATCGTGTCGAAAATAAAGTTATATTTATTGAACACATTCATACTGAGTTAATGTTAGCAGATTCCTTGACTAAATGCATGCCTTCAGTTAAATTCAAGGATTTGGTTCAGAAAATGAGACTTTCATCCACTTTGTGATTTGTATATACATTCAGTTTCAATAAAATTTTTTGACATTCAGACATTTCCTCAATTAAGTGTGTACACCTTCATTTGCTTCATATTGATGAGAAAATGTACTTCAGGGATTTGGAATAAACATAGAGTTTATTTCGTTGGGTTTTGTTTCCTAATTAAGTGCCCAATGGCAGTTTGCATTTGATCATAATGGATACTACTCGTGCTAATGAGAACATATCATTATGGTTGGTGTTTTTCTGTTATTGAGTGGTAGTGCTTGCACCAAGTGGGAGAATGTAACGTTTATCCGTTACTATTATTATAACATTAGGATAAGTTATGATAATATTCAGTATTTGATATGTGGTGCAACACTAATAACCTAATAGCTAGACTACCATTATGATTAGGAATCTAGTTAGGGTTTAGGAGACCTAAAGACAATCAACCACAATGATGGCCAGTGGTTATATAAGGTCACTAGTCCTCTCACTGCTCACATTACATACCTCATACACCATCTAGAGAGAGCTGAGTAAAGTGAGAGACAAAATACTCGTTATCTCTGCAGCAGTCCGGATCGTTCAACCGTGTTAAGAACTATGGGTGGAGGTTAGTCGATCCTATTATCACATATTATAATGATGCATGTGATATTTTAGTCTAACAATTTAATATGGCGGTCAGTCAGGAAACGGCCTACCAACGCATAAAGCGCGATATTACCCTCGGCGATAGCATCCACTGGCTCCTCCAAACCCCCCGCGTCCTCCTCGGCTAGGGTTAACTCATCAGCACAACCCTCTGTCAAATTGCTGACATCCATGATTCACAAGAGACACAGCTAGCGAGAATAACACGATCGAAACAGAAACAATCGATCAAGAAACACGAAGAAACAAAAACACAATCGAAACAGAAACACGAAGAACCCTAGAAATCTAGGGAGAAACCTCTCCAAGCGCACTCAGAGAGAGGACCGCTTTTTCCGGGCACTCCTCACGTATGACATTGGAGGGAATGTTTCTAATAGAGAGCATACTAATTTAGGTAGTTGTTGAGCCTAGGCTTGTGCATGCCATTAATGGACCGGAAAACCATGTGCGGAGCATGTTCTTATAGCATCTATATTCTCATTTGTTTAACTAGTATTACTATTGATGGTCCCGAGTGAATACATGCATGCAATGGAAAAGTCTAGATGGGTAAATTAGTATGGTTTACTAATTGAAAATTCTCTAAATTTCTAGAAAATTGGGAAATTAGAGAATAGAAAACAGAAAACATGTTTACGGCAAATTAGTATGGTTTACTAATTGAAAATTCTCTAAATTTCTAGAAAATTGGGAAATTAGAGAATAGAAAACAGAAAACATGTTTACGGCACGGTTTTTCATTTTGAAAACTGAAAACATTTTTTAGAAATTTTTAAAAATTATTTTTTAAATGGAAAACAAAATCATTTTATCATCTATTTGACTATATATATATCACTATAATAACCAAATTCTCACCGTTACTACTTACATATTTATTCATTACTAGCTATAATTACCTTCATTATCATATTTTTTCCTTATCACTATATTTTATCTTTTCTACACGCATTTACTTATATAAATATAACTTATTCGTTTACACTTAAAGTTATACATTATTCACATTAATGACTGAAAGTAAAGATTTGTACAAATCAACCATAAATCGGTCATTAATCGGTTGTTTTATTCTTTTACGTGTGATTGAATAGAAATCACTACATCAAAATCTTTCATCAGTTTAAGTTTCAACAAACATATATTTAGGCTATATAGTTAAGTGTTCAACATATGAGGAATGAAGTGTAAGAAAATTTAAATTTCCCTAAATTCTTCTAAATTTTAAGATTAAAAAGTACATTAAAATTTTTTAAAAGTGGACCCGTTTACTTCAGAAAATTGTTCTCTGTTTTCTATTTTTTAATTTTTTTTTTTTAGTTTTCATTCTCTGTTTTCTATTATCTATTTTCTCTTTAGAAACCTAGTTTACTAGCACTCTTTTTTTAATGTTTTTTAAGGCTGACGTTATAAAATTAACACAAGTTTAATTTCAAGTGATTTAAAAATCTATTTAAAATATATTTGAATATGTTTGGTTTAAATTGAATAATTAAATATAATTTTTACTTTTAAATCTAATATACGTAAGATTTTTACATTTGATATCTGAACCAAATTCATATCCGTATATAATTAACATAACTAAAAACATATCTGATCTGTACCATTAACCTATTAAGTTCACTTAAAATTTAGTTTAGATAATAGTTAAAATTTTTGAGCTAATATTTAAAATATTTTTGGATATATCCATTTTAATGACTTGTATACATATAATTTTTACTTTGATGTCTTAAATGTGTGAAATTTCAATATCCAATATCCGGACCAAACATGTATTACGACATAACATAACTAAAAATATCTGAACCAATAATCTATTGAGTTCAATCAAAATCTAAAACTTGGTGTGGATTTCAAGTTTTAATTTTGATAATGTGAATAATTTCTAACTATAAGCGTAACCAAATAAGTTATATTTATATAAATAAATGGGTAGGGTGTAGAAAAGATTGAATATGGTCATAAGGAAAAGAATATGATAATGAAGGTAATCATAATAAAGAATCAATATGTAAGTAGTAATAGTAAGAATTTGGTTATAGTGATATATAGTCAAATAGATAATACATGATTCTATTTTTTTACATTTGGAAAGAGTTTTTCAAAAGTTCCTAAAAATGTTTTCAGTTTTCAAAATGAAAACCCGTGTTAGTAAATATGTTTTATGTTTTCTATTTCCCAATTCTTCAATTTTTTCGAAAACTGAAAAAAAATTTCAGTTAGTAAACGATATTATTTTACCCCTCTAGACTTTTCCATTGCAAGCATGTATTCACTTGGGACCATCAATGGGAGGAAGAAACAAATGAGAATATAGATGCTATAAGAACATGCTCCACACATGGTTTTCCGGTCCATTAATGGCATGCACATAAATGGAAAAGATATTGAAGGAATTGGAAGTGTATTTGATAGTCTTTTTAAGCCGTAGTTCATTAATTGCACAAGCCTAGGCTCAACTACTTTCCAAATAAGTATGCTCTCTATTTCGTTACTTTTCCTAGAAGGGAAACTGCAAATTAAAGGACAACAAAGTAGAATATAACTATACCTTCACATGTAGTTATTATATATAAATTATTAATTAATTATTAATAGAAAAATGTGTGCTATATACCCCTACAAATACCCCCTACAAATACCACTGATAAACTTGTCACTTCTTGATTTGTCAAGTTTTAATAGGCGTTTTTTTTCACTTTTTCCTTTTTTATTTTAAATATCCTTATTAAAACTTGCGAGATCAGGAATTGACAAATTTGTGAGTGTAATGTAAGGGCATCTAGCACTGCTCTTATTAATAATATAGAGGGTCACTAGTTTTGCAAGTGGAAGAACATGAATAGAGTCACTCCTGAAGCTTTGAAGAAAGTTGAAAATAATAATAGAGAATTACGATAAAACATTCATGAATATAATAGCTGATCAAAAGCTCTCAAAACAGTTCAAAGAATCTTCCAGTTAGATTTTTATTGGGATTAACAACAAGAAGCAATAATAATAATGGAAGAAAGTAAAGAAGATAAGACTTACGTGGTTCGTCAATGTGCCTACATCGCATAAGTGAAATTATTCTTTTATTAATTTTGATTCTGATGGTGACGCGATACAACACCTAAAGATACATTATAAACGAAAATGTACCTTATATAAACAAAAAGTACATTATTTGAGTACATTATTTTGTATAATGCATATTTCGTACGTAAATAATGTACTTTTAATATATTAAAAAAATATTTTTTTTATGGTCAACACAGTACTAGTTCACATAATAATTTGCCTTCGTGTAATGAACACTAAAATTCGGCGCCCACGAGGAGCGCGAGCGCGAGCGGAATGGGCGATAGATTTGTATAAAAAGGGGGAGTATGTGTGGAGTTTCAGCACCACTTACAACTTCATACCAACAGAAATCCATAGAAATTAAAAGAAGAGAGAGAGAGAGAGAGAATTGAAGATGAGTGGCATTGCTAAAAGATGGAAGGTTCTAAGTGGGAGTGATAACTGGGAAGGGCTACTGGACCCTTTGGATTCGGATCTCCGCCGCTACCTCATTCACTACGGAACCATGGTTTCACCCGCAACCGATTCTTTCATCAACGAACCAGCTTCCAAAAATGTGGGATTACCGCGATATGCCAGGAGAAACCTCCTTGCTAACTGTGGACTAGTGAAGGGAAACCCTTTCAAGTATATATTATATAATAAATTAAAGCTTCTCTCTCTCTCTCTCTCTCTCTCTCAGTTTCTGTTCTGATCTCATTCACCCACAAGCTAGTTTAATTTATATGTTTTTTTTTTTTTTTTTTTGTTAATTGTTTAAGATATGAAGTGACCAAATACTTCTATGCACCATCAACAATCCCACTCCCAGATGAAGGGTATAATGTGAGGGCAACCCGAGCGGATGCAGTGCTAAAGGAATCAAACTGGAATGGATATGTTGCCGTGGCCACGGATGAAGGAAAAGTTGCTTTGGGACGAAGAGACATTCTGATTGTTTGGAGGGGAACGATTCGAAAGTCGGAGTGGAATGAGAATCTCACATTTTGGTTCGTCAAAGCGCCATTATTCTTTGGCCAAAACTCTGATCCTCTGGTCCACAAGGGCTGGTACGATATGTATACCACCATCAATCAAGATTCCCAATTGAATGAAAAGAGTGCCAGAGATCAGGTATATATGTGTTATATATAGATTACACTCCTCATTTTGTTAGATCGAGTGTTTACTAGGCGACTTATGCCAAAAGATATAGCTAAGATCATATAAACAAATCCCTCGGTCACACTGGGTGCTAGACTTGCCTTTACCAGCCTCTTCTCAACACATTTTGTATTTTTATTTTTATTTCAATGTCTTTTAGGCATTGTAGAATTTGACTTCACTTGCCTTTGTTATATATATATAGATTCGTGAAGAAGTTGCAAGACTTGTTGAGTTATACAAGGACGAGGACATTAGCATAACCGTGACAGGACATAGCTTGGGTTCATCCATGGCAACACTAAACGCAGTAGACCTAGCTGCCAATCCAATCAACAATAATAAAAATATTCTTGTCACTGCTTTCTTGTATGCAAGCCCCAAAGTAGGGGATGAGAATTTTAAAAATGTCATTTCTAATCAACAAAACCTTCGAGCCTTGCGAATCTCCGACGTGAATGATATTGTTACAGCGGTTCCGCCGTTTGGATGGAAAGAGGGTGACAATACAGCAATACTTTACGGAGATGTGGGGGTGGGTTTGGTGATTGATTCTAAGAAATCCCACTATTTGAAGCCTGACTTTCCAAACCTGTCAACTCACGACTTGATGCTTTATATGCATGCAATTGATGGATACCAGGGGTCTCAGGGAGGATTTGAGCGTCAGGAAGACTTTGATCTTGCTAAAGTTAATAAGTATGGGGATTATTTGAAAGCCGAGTATCCTATACCAATAGGATGGTTTAACATAAAGGATAAAGGAATGGTTCAGCAGGACGATGGAAATTATATCCTTGACGATCATGAAGTGGACAAGACATTTTAAACAGAAACAGTTTGGTGCATGCAATATGCATGCATGTGTGTTTGAATAAAGCTAAGTCTTCTATAGCTTCATGAAGACCTTTCTATAATTATTGAGTGTGTTTTGAATAAAATTGGAGCTGAGGCAACTAGCCGCTTGTGGCTAGCTGTCTAGTCCAATGCATGTATGTGTGCAAGGTTTGCTAGCTAGCTTGTATTTGAATTATTATGCATGTTTCAATAATCTCTTTTAAGCAATAATATATATAATAATAAAAGATCAGACTTGATCGAATTGCTTGCTTTTACTTTGCTTTGTTCCTGCATGCTTAACAAAACTAATTTAATTTGCTACTCAAATCTGGGGTTGTTTAATTTACTTTGAATAATCTTCTTTCTTATTAGAGGAAGATTAAAAATATAGAAAGGGTATGGATGTAATTTTCTCTTTTGGTTGTTACAACTGCCATAAGTCTCTTTTGTATAAGTGGCCGTCTTCCTTTCCTTTGCCATGTAACGTCACTTTCCACTTTCCATCTCAGATGAATAAACAAATGAAACCATCTTCACTTTCCCTTCACCTGTGATCTCTGTTCTCGAAATGGTATCAGAGCCACGCTCGTATCTCGCCATCGTCACCGGCGTGGCTAGCCAAGGAGGACATGCGACGACGACACCAATAGTTGGATCGCCGATACGCACGACCTCAGCAACAACTCCACAGAGGAGTTCTCATCCACAGAGGAGCCATGCAGTGGAAGATATGGAAAATCCGTACTTCCTCAGTGCAAGTGAGAATCCGTCCACGATCCTAGTTAGTCCTCCATTAACAGGGAGTTCTAACTACGCTTCCTGGTGCATCTCAATGAGAATTGCTTTGGAAGTCAAAAATAAGTGGTGTCTCGTTGACGGGAGTCTTCCGGCACCGAGCAGAGACCACAATCGCTACGCAGCTTGGAAGCGATATAGTTTGATGGTTTGTTCGTGGATCTTCAGGTCGGTGGACTCATCGATCGCTCAATCTATCATGCATCTGGACAAAGCAGCAGACGTGTGGGAGGATTTGAGAAAGCGGTTTGCACAGTATGATGCGCAGAAAATCTCCGTATTACAAAACGAGATCTATGACTTAAAGCAATGTAATCTCTCTATTAGTGATTACTATACAAAATGTAGAATTATGTGGGAACAAATGAATGCATTAAGGCCTATTCCTATATGCAAGTGTGATCCGAAATGTGCCTGTGATCTTATTGATGTGATTAGAAAGGAACGGGAAGTCGATCAGGTCATACGTTTTCTTCAGGGACTAAATGATGAGTATAATGGCTTGAAATCTAATATCCTTGTGCTTGATCCGTTGCCAGAAGTGTATAAAGTGTTTGTGATGACAGAAAAAGTAGAAAGGCAGATTGGTACATCAAGTTTGAATGTAAAAAGTATGGAGTTCAGCCAGGCCAACGCGGTTCAGAGTGCAGATGATATGGTTGCTGCTATGAAGACGTACAATGTCAAGAGGTATGGAAACAATGGAAGCAGTAAACCTAAGTGTGTTTATTGTGGAATGACGGGGCATACGATTGATAAATGCTACAAAAAGCACGGTTATCCCCCCGGTTGGGTCCCAGGTTATAAGTCCAAGATGAAACAGCAGAGTGCCGCACCTGTGATGAGTAACACTGCTGATTTGGGGATCTCCAATGATCAGTTTCAGAAGCTAATGTTGGCTTTGCAAAATCAGTTGGGGCAGCCTGCTGGTTCCAGTGCTACAGCAGCAGTATCTTTAATCCCAAAATTTACTGAGGAGGCTAAAGAAGGCAGGTATCCTATCTCTCATGTTAATTCGCTTTCAATTTGTGCATCCACTTGGATCTTAGATTCTAGTGCTACGGACCACATAACTTGCTCTATTGAATTCTTTGATGAATATTATAATGTTGAAGGAGATGAAGTTAGCCTACCAAATGGAAATCGAATTGCAGTTAGAAATAGAGGGACTGTTAAACTTGGACACAATCTGCTCTTAAGATATGTCATGCACATCCCATCCTTTCAATTTAATATTGTGTCAGTAAGCAAATTGCTCCAAGACACCCCTCACAGTTTAATCTTCTCTTCTGGGCAGTGCATAATTTAGAAAAACCGGATGGGATGACGGTTGGTTTAGCTGAACAAGAGAAAGGGCTCTATCTAATGAAGCCACCATTGGAATCTGCGAATTACAAAAGTCTAGTTATGCAATGTAATAGAGCTGAAATTTGGCATAGACGCTTGGGACATTTTCCCATAAATAAGATGCACTTGTTTAAAGAAATACAGAATTTGCCTATGGTTAATAAAGCTTGTGATGTGTGTCACCTAGCAAAACACAAACGTCCCCTTTTCCTACGAGTATTTCATCTTCAAATACATGCTTTGAGCTAATTCATGCAGATATTTGGGGGCCTTTCCCGGTGTGCACAATGAAAGGGAAACGTTATTTTCTTACTTTGGTGGACGATCATTCTCGTTTTACATGGTTACGGTTGATGAAGGCAAAGTCAGAGGTTAAAAGCTTGCTAAAACAGTTCCATAACCTGGTATATACTCAGTTTGGGCTCTTGATCAAGACGATTAGAAGTGACAATGGGCCTGAGTTTGCCTTGGCAGATTTCTATGGTGAAAAGGGGATAATCCATCAAACCTCATGTGTCAACACTCCACAGCAAAACGCTGTGGTGGAAAGGAAGCATCAACGTATCCTTAATGTTGCTAGGACTTCGCGTTTCCAAGCTCGGCTTCCTCTAGAGTTTTGGGGACAATGTGTTATGCATGCCGTGTACATTATCAACCACATCCTATCTCCGGTGATTGAAGGAGTGAGTCCCTACTACAAGATATATGGTAAAGATCCTCCTCTTGATACACTCAAAGTTTTTGGCTGTTTATGTTTTGCTTCCACTCTGCCTCACTCAAGGAATAAAATAGAACCAAGAGGAAGAAAATGTATTTTTGTTGGAATACCGGCTAACATAAAAGGGTATATGTTGTATGACTTGCTTGATAATTCCATCTTTGTCTCGCGAGATGTGGTTTTTTATGAGCAGGAGTTCCCTTTTCTGAGCAGCCAAGCACACCACCTCAATTATTTAATCATTCATTGCCGAATATCCCTACAACCACTCTGATGAATTATGAGCAGCCTGTTGATTGGAGACAATCCCCAGTGAACTTTCCTGCCAGTGATCACTTATCATGTGAGCTCACCCATGATACATCCCAAGGTTCTTCTGATGGTCAAGCATCCCTTGAAACTACAACCAATGATACTCAAGACATAACCAATCATGAGCAGGAAGCCATTGTTAATCCTCCCCTGAAAAGGTCGAACAGAGAAAGGCGTATGCCAAATAAACTACAAGAATACTACTGTGATATGGTTCAAATGCAAGGTTCTTCACCCCACAGTTTCTCCAAATTTATGTCATGTGATCATCTCACAGCATCACACAAGGCTTTCACATTGTCAGTAACATCTATTACGGAGCCTCGCACTTATAATCGGGCCATCAAAGAAGAGTGTTGGAGGAATGCAATGTAGACAGAAATTATTGCCCTGCAAAATAATAATACCTGGCAATTAACAGACTTGCCCATTGGAAAGATACCTATAGGTTGCAAATGGGTTTACAAGTTCAAACTCAAGGCGGATGGCACCGTTGAACGCTACAAGGCTAGGTTGGTAGCGAAGGGCTATACACAACAATTAGGAGTGGACTACATCGAAACTTTTTCCCCGATAGCTAGGATAACCACCATTCGGGCTTTCCTAGCAGTGGCTACATCTAAAGCATGGCATGTTCACCAATTAGACATCAACAACGCTTTTCTTCATGGGGATTTAGACGAAGAAGTGTATATGGTTCTCCCCCCGGGCTTTCAAGTAGAAAAGCCAAACCAAGTCTGTAAATTGTTGAGATCGTTGTACGGCCTAAAGCAGGCAAGTCGGCAGTGGAATGCCAAACTCACAGCAGCTCTCTTGAATGACGGTTTCAAACAATCCTCTGTTGATCCATCTTTATTCTCTAAAGGAACAGGCAGTAACTACATTGCTATCTTGGTATACGTTGACGATATTCTTGTAGCAAGCAGTGATTTGCTTCTCATCCAACAACTCAAACACCTACTGGACAAGGCTTTTAGAATCAAAGACTTGGGTGTTTTGTGCTATTTTTTTTGGGTATCGAAGCCAAACTTTCAACTGCCGGTTTAAGCTTATGCCAAAGGAAGTATGCTTGTGACATTTTAAGTGATGTTGGATTCATTAATTGTAAACCAGTAAACACGCCCATGGTTCCAGGAACTCACCTACTGCAAGAAGATGGCACAATTTTGAGTGATCCAGGAAGCTATCGGCATTTGATTGGTAAACTGTTGTATCTCACGGCCACGAGGCCAAACATTACATATGATGTTCATAAATTGAGTCAGTTTGTTAGCTCTCCAACTGAAAAGCACATGGCTGCTGCTCATCGAATACTCCGTTACATCAAAGGCTCTCTCGGTCAAGGAATATTTTATCCCACAACAACCACTCTTCAACTCAAGGCCTTTTCCGATTCAGATTGGGCTTCTTGTGCTGACACTCGCAAATCTGTAACAGGCTATTATATATTCCTTGGTCCTTCTCTCATCTCATAGAAGTCAAAGAAACAGGCAACAGTATCAAAATCTTCCACAGAAGCAGAGTACCGGGCTTTTGCAACCACTGTTTGTGAGCTACAATGGATCACCTCCCTACTTCATGATTTGCACGTTACTGTAAGTGCTCCTGCTATTGTTTTTGCGATAATAAGTCTGCTATTGCAATCTCCGAGAATGATGTTTTCCACGAAAGAACTAAACACATCGAGATCGACTATCACGTTGTACGGGAAAGGATTGTTCAAGGCCTAGTTAAACTGCTCTCTGTTCCCACTGGTAACCAAGTTGCAGATGGCTTCACCAAGCCTCTACCTTTTTCTTAGTTCCAATTCTTTGTATCTAAGCTGGGTGTTCAAAATTTACACACGCCAGCTTACGCGCGGGGGGGGGGGGGGGGGGGGCGGGGGGGGGGTATTAGAGGAAGATTAAAAATATAGAAAGGGTGTGGATGTAATTTTCTCTTTTGGTTGTTACAACTGCCATAAGTCTCTTTTGTATAAGTGGCAGTCTTCCTTTCCTTTGCCATGTAACGTCACTTTTCACTTTCCATCTCAGATGAATAAACAAATGAAACCATCTTCACTTTCCCTTCACTCGTGATCTCTGTTCACGAAATTTCTAGCTCTTTTTGCCCATTCTAGGTTTGTGCCTAGATCAGATCTGCAAACTGGCGGGGTGAAGATTAGGTTAATCAATTGAACTGATCGAAGAAATTCAGTTAATTGCTTTGATTTTTTTTTTGGTGCGTTTGTCGCCCTTAGCTGAAGGCGTTATCTGATCCTTGGCACCGGCCTGCTGCCAGCGTTGACGTCCATAAGAGCGTTGAGATCCGAGGGGGATGAGTTCCGAACACGAGTTTCCCAATCTATATTTTGTCCAAAATTTGCAAGTCAATCTGCACATTGGTTCCCCTCTCTCATAATATGAGAGATTCTGACCGTATTAAACTTGTTGATGAGGTCGAAACAATCTTTAATTAAAGTAACGACTTCCTCTATTGGATGATAGCGTCTACACAAATGTTAGCGTCTACACATAGCGTCTACACAAATAAGCGTCTACACAAATGATAGCGTCTGCACAAATGTAAAAGAGGATAGAAATATATTAAAGGGGTAGTTAAGTCTTTTCTATCTTCTTAGCAGTTATAACTGCCATCCTTTCCTCTTGTACGTATAAAGGCTCTTTCCTCTGCTGAATCAATATACTTTACCTTTTCCACTCATAGCTTATCTCTGCTCGTCTCTTTTTCACTCCCAACTACATGTAACTATTTCGTCATTCTCTCCCTTGCAGGTCCCATTATTCATGATTGCAACAACTGTCGGCTTGTCCATTTCCACCCAAATCTTTTCAACCCCTTCACTCAAACAGAACTGTAGACCCTCCCTTAGACCCCCACAGCTCCGCTAAGAAACTATCAGTAGCTCCAACTTTCGTTGAGAAACCCTTCACCCAACGACCATGTTCATCCCGAAGAAATTCAGTTAATTGCTCTGATTGATTTGCATTGAGATTATTAAATTAATAATACCGATTATCTATTAGTTTTATTCAAAAGTTTGGTTAATCAAAATTGTTAGGGTGTGTTTGGTTGGAACATGGGAATGGGAATTATTACTTGGTAATTGAGAAGGGTTTTGGTGATACTATTTTTACATTGATTGCAGTATAATTCTCAAATAAATAATTACTCAGAGTAACGAGTTATCCATCCACAGGGAAGTGAGGCGTATCAAATACTAGCTACTAATCTATTCTTGTGAAGCTAATCCTAATGATTATCATGGATGGTTGATTAAAATAATTAAAAGAAAACAAAGAAGCAGGTTTGTGAAAACAATAGAGAGAATGAGATTCTTGGGATTCAAGTATTTAATCACCTAGTGCCAACCTTAAGAACAATATTAAATCTGGATTAAACAAATGTGAGAATGCATATAGGGGAAAGAGTTACTCCCGTAATCTCTAACCTAAGTGAATATTTGCTCCCGCGATATAAACACACAACAATGTAAGAACAAGCATTCACAATAAACTCTTAACTACTACCATCTCCTGATGCGCAATAATCAATAATTAAATTCCCTAACATATATGCCCTCTCTCAAGATGCAACAATTAAGTGCAATTGTGGGTACTCTCAATTATGCCTAACTCCCGTTATGACATAAGGATAGCTATGAAACAAGTAATTCGAGCCCTGAACTACTAGCAAAAACAATATAATCATAGTTGCAACAGAAGTATAAAACCCAAATAATAATATATTAAGAATCTGAGAAACATGCAC